TGCCCGAAATCGATTTTGGAAGTCCGTAGGTTGATTTGTGTTGATTTGCTAAAATTTAGCAATTTGAAGTTGAAAAGTTTGACCGTAGGTTGACCTTTGGATAACGAGCTCGAAATTTAATTTTGGGACTTGGAATAGGCCCATTATGGTATTTAGAACTTGTCTGCAAAATTTGGTGTCGTTTGGAGTTGATTTGATAGGATTCAGACATTTAGTTGTAACTTTAGAAATTTTGAACTTTACTTTGATATTCATGCGTTTTAGTGTTTGATTCATAATTTTAGGTGTTATTTTTGTGTTTTGATCACGGGAGCGAGTTTGTATGGTGTTTTTAGACTTGTGTGGAGGTTTGGTTTGAGCCCCGAGGGCTCGGATGAGTTTCGGACATGTTCCGGAGTGTTTTGGACTGAAATTTACAAAATATGGTGTCTGGTGTCGCAATTGCGAATACTAGAGTCGCATTTGCGACCTTAGAAGGGAACCCACAGGTATCGCAATTGTGTTGACTAGGTCGCGTTTGCGAACAGGTCTAGGGCTGGGCTGGGTTCGCATTTGCGATGGTCTTCGTCGCTTTTGCAAGGGCAACAGGGTTCGCAATTGCGAACCCATCTTCGCATTTGCGAAGATCTTCCCAGTGTTAGTGCCGTAATTGCGATAACTGCAAGTGAACATAAGGGCTGAAAGTCGGGATTTCACTTCTCATTCTCTCATTTTGAACCTTAGACTCGGTACGAGGCGATTTGGAAAGGGGATTTTCACCTATAAACTTTCGGTAAGTGATTCTAATCTATTTCTAATCATATTCCATCAATATATATATATATATATATATATTATATATATTATATATATAGTATATATATATATATATATTATATTTTAACATCAAAATCATGTGAATCGGAGTGAAAATTTGTGAAACCTTGTCAAGTTTTTGAAAAATAAGAAATTGAGTTTTGAGAGTCGATTGGGACTCGGATTTTGAAACTAATTACATATATGAACTCGTGGAGTCATGGGTAGTCGGAATCTACCATTGGATCCGGGTTTTGACAGGGCAGGCCCCGAGTTTACTTTTGTTTATTTCTTGGGAAAGTATAAAGATCTTAGCTTTATCTATTGTAATTGATTTTCCTAGCATTGTTTGATGATATTAAGTCAATTTTGGTTAGATTTGAGCCGTGTGGAGGCTATTTTAGGTGAAAAGCTATTTACGAGTGTTGAATTGGCCTAGTTGAGATAAGTATCTTTCCTAATTTTGTGTGGGGGAACTATCCCTTAAGATTGGTATTGATTAATTTATTTGTGCTATGTGAAAGCCGTATACGCAAGGTGACGAGTGGATACACGGATTGTACGTTGTATTTAACTGGTTTAGGCTACTTGGACTATTTCCATGCTTTAATTAAAATACCATATCATGTTCTAAATTCTCATAGTCAATCTATCCTTATTTGTGTGGGTCTATCCTTACATGCCTTAATTGACTTGTTTAACACTTGTTCTACATCCTACTTGATATATTGCTCTCATGCTTTAGTTGAACTTGTTGCCTCTTTTATTGATATATGCTATCTCTTCATTGTTAATTATTATTATTTGAAGTTATTGTTCGTGTTATCTCCTTTATTATTGATTATCATTACTTGAAGTTATTTTTCATGTTATCCCTTTCCTTGTTGATTTCCATTATTTGAAGTCATTGTTATACGTTATCTCTTCCATTGTGAGTTATTCTTTTTTAATATCGTGGTTATACATTATCTCATTGTTGAGTTATTGGTGTTGAAGTTGTGAAAGTCATTATAACGTTGAGGCGAAATTATTATTGATGAAGCATCTTCCTTGTTGAGCATTTTACATTCACTGTTGTTGTTGATATTCTTGTAACCATTGTGGTAGAGCCATGGGCTATTGTTGTGGAAATATTGATATTGTTGATTGTTGGCAAGTTGTGATATACGGGCACTTGTAGTATGAGTTGTGATTGTGATGTGGTATTGACGCGCGCGCATGCGGCGGTATAAGGCTTGGGGTTAATGTGCATGCGACGGTATAAGGTGGGAGTTTTGTGCGTGTTGCTTGTAGGGGAACTACGCGAAGCCACGCGGCGTTATAAGGTGGGCTAAAATGCATGTAGCTATTTCGAAAAAATTATTTTCAAAACCTATTTCAAATGTAAGGCTCACGCGGCGGTATAAGGAAAGATGTGATTGATATTGTGAATTGTGAACACGAGGCGGTACCTCGGTTGTGATTCTTGATATATATATACATGAAGCAGTACCTCGATGGTGATCCTTATTGTACACAAGGCGGTACCTCATTGTGATTCTTGTTGTTTTGTTCTTCCTTATATTTATCAGTTATTGTCCGTATATGATCGTTGTGGTTCTCTTTAATTTTTTTCTTTACATTCTTTCCGTGCTTACAATTCCGCTATTAGTTCATGCTGTTAATTGTTTTGTATCAGTTATTTCTCCGCTTTCCATTATTTATCCTTATTATGTCTGTTTATTTATATCCTTGTAGGTGTCTTGACCTGGCTTCGTCATTACTCTACCGAGGTTAGGCTTGATACTTACTGGGTAACATTGTGGTGTACTCATACTACGCTTCTATATATTTTTGTGCAGATCCAAGTACGTCTGCTCGTGCCGGTCATTAGTGATCATCTGTTAGCTACTTTACGTAGACTTCAAGGTATGCATGCTCGGCGTCCGCAGGCCTCGGAGTCACATTCCTTTATTCTTATTTCCGTTGTATTTTTTTCCAGACAGTGATGTAGTAGATATTCCAGTTTTACTCTGTAGAGCTTATGACTCAGTTCCACCGATCTTGGAGAGTGTACTGTTGTTTCGGAAGTTTATATCAGTTATTCAGCCTTGTTTTAGTATTTTGTTAATTATTTTCGTCAAGTTATTATTAACTGTTAGGCTTACCTAGTCGTAGAGATTAGGTGCCATCACGACATCCTACGGAGGAAAATTAGGGTCGTGACATCGGGTCGTTTGCCTCGGCAGTGTTGTGTAATATTATTCTTATGGGATCGGAATGTTCGCCACAATAATATTGTGTAACACTACTCTTATGGGATCGGACCGTTCGCCTCGGCAGACTCGTGCGTAATACTTGAGACTTTATTTTGTGTTGATATTGGTTGACCTTGTGCCTTCGAGGCAGGTTATGGTAATTAGTGATTTCATAAATATTCGTGTTTGAGAATCTATTGATATTTATTTGTCATGTTGCTACTTTTTTGTGTTCATGCATGTGTACTTTATGTACATTGTTATTGGACCGCTAGTAAATATAGAAATCGACCTCTCGTCACTAATTCTTCGAGGTTATACTAGATACTTACTAGTATGCATTGATTTAAGTACTCATACTACACTTCTACACTAATTATGCAGGTATTGAGGTAGGTACTTTAGGCGGTCACTCAGGCGCGTAGACACACTCCCGGAGACTTAGTGGTGAGATGCTCTCCATTCTTTGATCTACAGCACCAGGAGTCTCCTTCTTGTTATGTTTATTACTTCTGTCTATTTTATTCCAGACAGTAGCTATAGTGGTTTTGTATATTCTACTAGATTGCTCATGCGCTTGTGACATCGGATTTTGGGGGTTTCTAGTGAATATTCACAGTTGTACCTAATGTTATTATCACTTTGCTTTATGTTTTATTCATATTCTGTGACTTGGTAAGGAAGAACGTATGTTTCCATAGTTTCTTCATTTAATTCCATTTACTTAATGTGATTCTTAATTTTTAAAGTTTAAGAATGGATAATTAAGTTGGAGGTTCACCATTGGCTTGCCTAACGGCATATTTATCTTAATTGCTTAACTATTTTTGTTTGGATTGAATCAATTGCTTTTGACATACTTTTATAAATTTAATTATTTTATCCTAATATTCAAATTTTAGGTTAAACATGCTTACTTAAATATTCTTATAATATGACCTTTCACCACAACTACATTTATTGCTCCCACCACATAATACAACCATCAGACTCCACGACACACCGCCCACTGTCAACTACCCTCACTATAGGCCACGCTGTAGAACCATCACATAACCACCTCTACCACCAGCCACCACCAACCATCTCTCACTAACCACATCCACCTCCACCATCAACTATTACAAAATGACCACTTTTAACGTCTCACCTCCATCGCCAGTCACCACCAGACAACCGGTATCTCTTGCTACCATAGCGCAACTACTTTATCTTAAATAATAGTTTTTACCCATTAGCTTTTTCCAATTCATATTGAAGTAGAAAGAAATGATTTTCGTCAACTTCCTAATTAGATGAAGTAGATAATAACTCCACGAGGCTTTCCGTGAAACCAAATATAAACGAGCTATTGGTCAAAAATCAAATAAATTAAAACGGTAAAGCAAACTATAAGTTATCATTATGAGTAAATGCTATTATCTTACTTATTGGGAGTTTTAAGCGTAAACATCTTATTTTCCTTGGGTTCCATAAAATAAAGGGGTACTACTCTTGGTTACTTGAATCGATACTTGTCAAGACCCAAAATATTATTACTCCCTCCGTTTCATATTAGATGAGCTACTTCTCTTTTTTAATATGTTCCAAAACAAATGAAATATTTTTAAATTTGGAAATAATTCAACTTTAAACTCTTTCATTTCACCCATTTACGGTCACACAAATGTCATGGCGCCACAAACTTTTTACCCCTTCAGCTTTTAAGATCACAAATTTCAAAAATCTTTTTTTTTTTCTTAAATTCCGTGTCGAGTCAAACTACCTCATCTAATCTAATATGAAAAGGAGGGAGTAATATATATATCTTGAATATTTTTTTATTTTTTTAATTTGGGCTTGCAAGAGACTCGTCCAACGGATGTCACTCACCTTCGTTGACTACACTTGAGGGAGCTGATGTAAAAAGTTTTAGAACAAAAAATGAAACCCCATAAAGGGTGTTGAAGATTTTTTGTTGGAGAAAACAGAGTAAAATAATAGTAAACCACAAACACAAAAGGGAATACTAATAAAAAGGATGTCCTTTTGTCCAAAGTTGTAAACCTATCATCTCTCACCTCACATGTCCGTGTGGAAGACAGAAAGAAAGGGGAAAAAAACTCAAAAAGGGCTTTAGATTTCAAGAAAAGGGGTTAGCAAAAAGTTCTGCTAGCAAAAGCCAATCAAATAGTTAAAGTATTAGTTGTGGGCAAATCAAGAAAGCCTGAGAAGAATGCTAACTTCTTCATTGAGGCTCCCTTTTTTGCCTCTTCCTCACTCCCATCTTACATTTTCCCCTTTGAATTTCAATAAAGTTGTTCACTTTAACAACCCCAATTTTCCCTTTAGTTCTTCTATTTCCTCTTCCAACAGATTTGCTTCAACAAACGCATCTTCTCGTGGACAGCAGACGGTATTACTACTACTTTTCTCTCGGTGTTTATAGTTAAATGTATATATTGGGTTTTTCTTGTTGTAATTAATCTGAGATTGACTTTTGTGATAATTGGAAAATTGGGTTCTTGATATGGTGTTTGATGGGAGAAAAACTCAAAGCTTTATTATTGGTCATATATAATATGTTGTTCTGACTTGTCAAAAGAAAGTCATATGCTGTTCCCTAGTACTTTTTTTTTTTTTTGTAAGGATAATATTGGCTTCAGATGAGTTTATATGGAGTAACATGGTCAATGAGGAGTCATATAGCCGACCCCAACTTGCTTGGAACTGAGCCGTAGTTGTTGTAGTCATATGTTGTTCTCTCTTTACTTGAAGTTTGTGGATATAGTGTTAGCTTATTCTTGCTGCTGTATGCTAACTGTGTCAATAATTTCTATTTGTTGTAGTAATTAAAACTTGCTTGTATCAGAGAGTCAAATGTTTGTGGATTTGAAACAAGCAATTATATGTTGTTTATCATGGTTGGTTGGTTATTGTATTTCCTTAGGTTTGCGGCTCTTGTTAGCTAAGAAAGAAGATTCCCATTTCATCTAAATTTGTTGTCTTCTTTTTAGTTTCTACATCAAAACTGAGCTTAGTCATTCCTGTTGTATTGGCCTTTTGTTAAAGCGGAAAATAAGGTTGTTAGAGAAAGACAACTTGATGATTAGAATGAAACATAAGATTTAGTCTCAAATTGTGCTGCTGTTTTAGGCTGCATAAACATTCAGTAACAGAGCCAATCACACAAACTAGAAGGATCTCATGATTATGCATTTTCATGCATCAGTTGGTTTTCACTTATGATTTACTGCCAGGGGCCTCTGTTTTCTATGTGCTGGTATAGTGGCCAGATGGAGATGCTGAAAGCAACGATAATTTGAGGAATGAAGATGAATATGCAATTCAGATGTTTGGTTCCGATGACGAACTCAGCTCTCAGATTCCAACTCAAGCTCAGTCTGTTGTTGAAGGATCAGGATCAGTTTTGGTAACAGAGTATAAGCCAGTTCCAGATGTGGACTATCTGCAGGTTCGATGTGGTCTTTTACTTGGACGTTGTGTTATACGTACCTGTATCGAATTGGAAATGTGATGAGATTTAAGAGTCTACTGTTTGAATAGCAATGATCCTTTGGATATTTATTACCTGAAAAAAGCCATCTTCCCTTTGGCATTTAACATTTCTAGTTGAGTAAATGAATATGACAGATCAGATCAAAGTGCAAATATATTCTACTAAGTCACAAGTTATTTGTAATAGGTGTCGGGTTATTATCTCTTTGATATGATGGATCAATATTTTAGATTGAACTAAGACGAACATTTATTACTATTTCAATTTTGTTATATTTTCTTATAATAAATCTTAAAATAATTTAACTTGACATGTTTAAGACGTAAGTTTCAAAAGTGCCTTTTCCAGAAAAAGTGCTGCTTTTTTTTTTCAAAGTTGAGGTGTTTGGCCAATTCAAGTGTTATTTTTAGCCAACAAAATCTACTCCTTTGATGTTTCTTAATGTGTCTGTGAATGTACTTATCAAAAATGGTGTATGAATGTAAATAAGAGATATATTGCTCCTTTCATGTTTTCAGGAGTTGTTAGCAATTCAACAACAAGGTCCAAGAAATATTGGCTTTTTTGGGACACGAAATATGGGATTTATGCATCAAGAACTTATTGAGATTTTAAGCTATGCCTTGGTCATTACGGTATGGTTCTCTTGTTTTAGTTGAAGGAGATAGTGATTAACGACTTTAAGCTTTTCAATGTTTTTTTCTTCTTTTTCTCAGAAAAATCACATCTTTACTTCTGGAGCAGCAGGCACCAATGCTGCTGTCATTAGAGGTGCTCTTCGTGCTGAGAAACCCGAGCTGCTAACTGTGATATTGCCGCAAAGCTTGAAAAAACAACCTCCGGAGAGTCAGGAGCTATTGTCTAAAGTAAATGCATTTACTTTATTTGTGGTTGCATCTATTCATACAAATTCCGCTTCATTATGACGGAAATATCACTGATGGTTATCTTACCATTATCAAAGGAAAAAAAAATTTCACTGATGGTATCACACAAAACAATTTGCGAAAACGATATATTGTCTATCTTGATTCTGTCATTGGAATTTTTCCTCCCTTTTTAATAACCAGAGTCATTGCACTGCTTCTCGTGGATATAGTTATCTTTAAAAAAAGTCTTTCTCTTTTTTGGTGGTTTTTTGGTTAAATTGTTAGATGTAGAGGAGATGGAAAATCTCTTATCAATAATATTAACTTCTCACTTATCCCAAAAAATAAGTTTTTCTCCTTTTGTTTAATCCTTTCTTAAATAGAAGGAAACATTACTAAGAGCTGCTACCTCTGGTCTTTTCTATGACTGTATTTGCTTTTTAATAATCAAACTGTTATGTACTGAAACATTTAGACTTTAGAGTCAATATCTCCTGAAATATTTTGTCTCAGATACTAAATTACTGAACTGTTGACCTGAAAGCTGATGAGCATACTACTGTCATCTTATCAAGCTGTTATATACAAAGTATGCAATTGTTTTAAATTTAGGTGCAAGCAGGAGCTGTAAAAATTAATTGGAACAGATCTGGGGCACCACACACCATTAGGTCTTCTAATTTTTGAAATGTACTTGTATGCCTTTATTGTTGAGAAAAAAAAAAACGAGGAGTTGCTTGAGCTAATTTCATAGATTCAACATACAATCACTATACCTCAATCTCAAACTAGTTGAGGTCAGTTGTATGCATAATTAGTTATGATTCGACTCTTTTTAGGCCCATTTTATTCCAATTTAAATGATTTGACTTAAAAGAAAAATTAGGGGTTCTCTAAAGCCTAAAACTGTTTCTTTAACTCACACCCTTATTCCTGCACAACTAATCAAGTTTCTTTGGCAAACACCAGAAGTAGTGTAAGTGTATCAACAGCAAATTAAGCCTTGTCCCAACTAGTTGGTATTGTATAAATGATTTGTTTGCTCCCACTATGTTCTGTTCTTAGCTAACTAGTAACTCCACATTGTTTTTGGGGGGTTAAAGTTCTATTTAGACAACTACTCTCAACCTTATTTTAAAAAAAGGTCTATGAGACAACTGCTCTCAATGTGATTATAGGTTTAACTCATCGTCTCATCGTCTTTTATCACCTTCAATCATCATAGTGTCACACCTATGAGGCGGTGCATATGGAGGTTTACGTAAGACAAGGCCAAACCGCCTCAGGCATCATTCTGGCATTTTGTCTTCTATGTGTTTTAGCACCCTCTGTTTGATGTAATCATTTCTGATTTTGTCTGATCTTTTATGACCACATCCATCTTACCATAGGCATTGTACAATCATCTCATGGATATATTGGGCGTTAAAGGCCCAACATTCGGTCACATTTGCTTTGCTAGTCTTACAACCGTTTTGTAGAGTTTACTTTTTATTATGTAGAGGGTTTTCCCTTCCTATAGTACTTACGCAGATCTCGTCTATTTTTGCCATCATCTTTTAATTCTATATCGTACATCTTCATCTATCATGCTATTTTCTTGGAAGTCTGAGCTTAGATATCCGAATCGTCTATAGTTTTGCATCATATTCCTATTTAATTTCACTTCCCCTTCATTATTTGTCCCAAGTACCTTTCTCTTTAGAGTTCTTCTCCATCGCTCCAACTTTTGGTTAAGTTCCTCACTAGTTTCTCCTATAAACTCAATATCATCTAAAAATCGCATTTCACCATGGAATCTTTTCTGATAACCGAGAAATCCTTGAGGGCCAGTGGTACACGGTTCGAAACTTGATAAATAATGAGTCTGTTCCTCTGAGGCCTAGTGAACCTGCGACATGCATTTAACCCACACGTCACGTGTTGCGCTCTTACCTCACCATAACTGCATAAACAAGTATATATTTGAGGCAAATCCTTAGTATACACCTGGGAAGCTCCCAAGTGTATTCTTATTTTGTTCTCACTATTGTGACTATTCTTTTGTAAATATGTTTTGTGAAATTTCCTATTTGATATCAACTCGTTTCTTCTTAAGCATGCCACTAACAAACTATTTCTTGATGCTTTATTATATAATTTCTTTGAGTAAATGAATATCTTGTGAAGATACTTTTTTTTCTACAATATTTTCATCTATCTTTGTTGCAAAATCTAGTATGTTGTGAACCAAGCAATATCAAACTATTTATCTATCACCCTTGTAGTTGCCTCTATATTTATTTTTTCCTCCATACTTTTTTCCGTAGGACTCATAAGTTTATACTACGATAGTTTGCAAACCTTTGAACATCTTTCACTCCCTCTATTCCGTTTCATGTGGCACTCTTTCCTTTTTAGTCTGTTCCAGAAAGAAGGATACATTTTTATATCCATAAACAATTTAACTTGTACTTCCAATTTTATCCTCAATGACATGTGTTTTTTAGCCACAAAAATGACATGGCATGTGTAAGATCACAAGTTTCAAGAGTCTTTCTTACTTTTTAAAACTTCGTACCCGTTCAAATAAGTTCACATAAAATGTAACCGAGGGAGTATATATTAGTACCAAGGTACTCTTCTCTCCAATTATTTGGCAACTTCATTTTATTTACAACTTCAACTTGAAATATTATTTGCAAATCAAGGTTTGTTTTACAATTTGGTCCATTATCTCAACTTCAACTTGAAATAGAGAATTTAGCGTTCGAGAAGTTGATTTAAGGAGTATTTTAAGTGTAATAATGGTTTCACTCGCAAAACTTCAACTTGAAAAAAGATATTCATGTCCGAAGATAACTTCAACTTCAAATACTCTTTATTTTCAACTTCAATCAAATATCGTCCAAGAACCTAATATACATTGAAATGTTTGGTTGCCATACTACTCCAGCCACTTCAAGAGCTTCCAAGCCTCTATAGGGGTACCATCCTGCATGCTTTTCTGCTCCAAGATTTTCATGGCATCCTTTACAGTAGAACTGATTTCTATGATTGTAGCTAAGATTTCTGTCTGTCGTGGATGTATACGCTATCCTCGTCATTTGTGTTGAGTAATTGATCTATCTCTTGTCATTATAAGTTGAATGCATGGTTTTCATTAGTTAGTTGCACCTTTTCCAATATAGAGCTAACACGTCATGGAAGTATTCCACATCCTGATTTAAGCTCAAAATCCAGTTGAATTAGTTTCTCTAGGTTCAAACCAACCAACTTCAGTATCTTTATAACCCTAAGTTAAGATTTATCTCCAAATAGCTTCATAATGGTTGAAAGCTGAAAATAAGTTTGCTTCTTCTGTTGCTCCTTTAGTGGATGCAAGTATTGGCAACCGAGAAGTTTTTGACAAGAGAAGGGGGTAAGTCGTCATTTCAACAGTCTGAATGCTAGAATTCAGAAATTATTAGGCAAAGGGTAGCCCAGTGCACTAAGCTCCCGCTATGCGTGGGGTCCGGGGAAGGGCCGGACCACAAGGGTCTATTGTACGCAGTCTTACCCTACATTTGTGCAAGAGATCGTTTCCACGGTTTGAACCCGTGACATCCTGGTCAAAAAATTATTAGTCTTCTCTAAATTTTATGTTTTGAGTAAAGAGGGAACATGTATGCTTAAGATGGTTTGCGGATATAACTGTTGATGAGTCCAAGTTTCAAGAGAGTAAGGTCGCAAGCTTCTTCTGCTTTAAACATTTGTGAATTACTCTATAGTGACTTCTGATTGAATGCACGGTTGAATTTTGTTTCCATCAGTCGTTTATATAACACAGTAAGAAGAGTTCAATCTTCAGATTGATGGAATAGAGTAGGGTAGTTAGCTGTGCTTCCAACAATATCATAATGTTGACTTGCTTGGATTTGCAGGTGAAACATGTGATAGAGAAACCTCACAATGACCATCTCTCGCTGCTAGAAGCTAGCAGGTATGCAAAAGAGCATCCTTTTTTTTGGAACTGATTTGGGTATATAATCTCCATTTCAAGTTGAACTAGTTCGCTTATATGATTTAGTAGGGACATGAGCATCTGATTTCCTCTACACTTATCTGTTGTAGAGTCTTTCTTCCATGTTATATTGAACTTGTATTCTTTCCTTGGCAGAAATTGCTTTCTATGACTTTATGCAGAACTGTATAAAAGTGATGGGTTAAACGATATAATCCTCATACGTCATAACATAGTTATATTATACCTTTTCTCCCTCATATTTCCCTCAAAGTGGCAACTAGTTTTGCAAGGAGCTTTCTATCACCATAGTCTTGTAGAAATTGTTACAGGTTGTATATGTGGCTTTTTGAATTGGTTTGAGGTACTTTACTTGCCACTATGGATTGTTTAAATCTGAATTGGTTCTCCTGATGTAGGTTGTGTAACATGGACATCATTTCCCAAGTGCAACAAGTTATTTGCTTTGCCTTTCATGATAGCAGATTGCTTATGGAAACATGTCAAGAAGCCAAGAATCTTAGGAAGATTGTCACTCTCTTTTACTTGGACTAATGGATAACAACAACACTCTGTTCATAGATTCTTTGCTATTGAATATTTTCTCTGTTGATTAGGAGGGAATATACACATATATGGAAATTAATGCGATGCAGAAATGTTCCGATTCATGCCATATTCATTTAATAGAGTAGATGTCTCATCGACTACAACATGATTTATAGATGTATTTATTTTGCAAATGAGGTGCAATGCATCCTTGTATTTCCACATATATCTTGCTCTAGTTAGTTGAAGAACTATACATTTTGGCCGGCAATGTAATTCACCTAGATGGGATATCAAATAAGGTCAATCTACTAAGTGTAGATTTAGTGCCGTGGCGGAAAACATATGGCAAGGTAATTTCTTTTCATTTTTCTAAGCCTTAGTGGGCAGAGTTACTTTTTACTTATGTTGGCGCAAGGTAGCAGGGACCTGGTAGAATAGTCGAGGTGCACAACTGGCACAGACACTAGTGTTGTCCAAGAAAAAGATGGTGCTTAGAGCATCTTTGGTTAAATACACCTAGCTGTAAGAAAGATGGAGATGATGCCACCATCTTTTATGTTCACTTTGTGACTTGATTTGTACTCTGATTTTTATGCAAATTTCATATTCTTCATCTTTTCGAACGGTGCATTTTCCCTATGTCTATATGTTGCCAGAAGATGGCCTTTTACAACTTTCTCTGGAATCAGCAACTCTTTTATTGATTAATTACATATAAGGCCATTCTTTCTTGTGACCACCAGCAGCCAAAGGTGATAAGAATTAACCCTCTATAAAATGTTTCTCATACTCTTTTAGTGATGCTCAAATAGAAAGTAAAACGTTTGCAGAGAATTTAGTAACACTTGATACTGTACTTCTACAAGTTTAGGATATGGCTTGGACTTGAACATCGGTTTCCCTTGAAAATCTATTTATAGCATGATAATTACATCATTATTCCTAAATATGGCGAGCAAAAGTCACCTTAATGCTTTGCTTAGAGCGCATTGTGTGCAGTAAGGCAAATAGCATAATCATAGTGTCGCTCTGCATATTTAAGGAAAAAAAATAATTAGCCCGATGCACAAAGTATCCTGTGTTCACGTAGGATCTGGGGAAGGGCTGCAACCAAGGGGATATAATGAAGGAAGTCTACCCTGATACAAGCATCAATGGCTGATTCCACGGCTCAAACCCGTGATCTAGAGGTCGCATGGAAACAACTTGACCGTTGCTCCAAGGCTCCCTTCTCACTCTGCATATTAACTCAAGAAAAATTATCTTGTTGTAACGAATGACCCTCAAAACCATAATCTGTTAATATAAGACTAGATCCATAAATTGATGCACAAAACGGTAAACATATCCAAATTTATCACTCTTTAGCGTTCACGCTCTCATCTAAAAGTTCCATTTTCCCTTGTATTATTCTTCATTAAGTGAAGAAAAAAGCAAAATCTTTCTTATCCAATATCAATCCAGGCTATTAGACAAAGCATGTAACTAGCCGCTTCGATAATCAAAACTAGACTGGCTTAGATTGTACTAAGATAAATCAGCATCAAGCTGAAGCAGAATCAATTGCATTGTATCGAGATTAACAAAAGGGAAAAATGCACAGATGTGACAATCAATAATACTGGTAACTGACTTAGAATGTGTCTATATGACAGAAAACACACTGTACAAATATGATATTTCGAATGTGAGGTCAGAAATAGAAATAAGATGGACATCTGTACAGTCACAAGAGACTACAAAAACCTGCGAAAAATAACCAAAGAACTGTATAAATTACATGAATTAGAAATCCTTTTTAACATCAAGAGGACCTCCATAGCGTGAAACTTGAACCAAGATGCAACGAGATTAAGCAGGTAATGGTTCCTCCATAACTGTGAAAATTGAATAATCAAACAAAAATATCAGAAGACATCATTTTGCGAGGAAAAGCGTGCTTGTATAGATATAATCAAGAGAAATAGAAAAACCTTTCTTTCGCACTGCAACTCCAGCTGAAGTATCTTGAGCATCCTCATTAACAGCATCCGCAATGACTGGAGCTTTTGTAGGTACATCAGGCAGATCCAATTTCTCTTCCACATTTTCAGCAGATGGTACAGCAGAAGGAACTTCTGGCAGATCTTGCACAGTTAACTACAAAAAATTAAAATGTCAATAATCCAGGTAAAGATGGAAGGGTGTTCTAGATGGAAACTGGAAATAGAAAATGATCAAATGAAATTGGAAGAAAACTTTGATACAAAAGGAAAAAGAAAATACTTAACAACTAAAATATCTTCTTTCCAAAAAATTCAAAAATATACTAATATAACTTCATTATAAGGAAGTATTTAACAATTCTACAGACCTAGAACTTCTTCTTGTATGTACTCTTAACATTTCTCACTAGACTTATTATTTACTGGACATCCTTTTGGGGAAAATCATTCCACAACCTATGATGATTAGCACTGAATGTGCAGAAGATAGGTTTTGCTAGCAACTTCTGAAGCTCGACTCTTGAAACAAGAAAAACAGAATCTGCCTATGTCACCAAAATTTGTGAAAGGAAATTCCAAAAAAACTGTGCCAAACTAATTGTTTGTGGGGATGAAATAAGAGAACAAACTGCCAGCTAATTACAAATTATCTTGTCATGCCGAGGAAAATGAAACACTGTACAAATAATCAATTGCAAACACAATCTCATGCAGCGAATTCTTTCGATTTCTCAATTCAATTACTGTTTTGTTACCACCAAATACATCAGATCCAATGGTGATGACAAGAGATCACACAAACAATGTTTGTCGTAGTATTAGTATATCAGCAGTGAGGAAAATAAAAGTTTTTCAAGGTGCTGAAACCTTTCACGACATCCGGGGGGGGGGGGGGTGGGGGGGAGGGGTAATTCAATACAGCCGTTAATAATTCTATCTTTTGCTCCTCTAAATGAGGAGAAAGCATCAAGATAACAGTGTCTAGCAGGCTTATAGTTGTCTCGTAAGAGTTTCAACTATGTGGCTTGAGAACTAGCTTTTAAAAATTTTCAAATTGAACAAGATAGTAGACACAGAGACACCTACTTCAGAAAAATACATTCAAAGGTTGTCTCCTTTACTGATTGTAGGCACAAGCACAACCAGCTATATTGCACATTGTCAGACTGGATGTCAGAATCGACCATTTAGTGTATTATCTCTTAACTGAATGAAAGAGGAGCTCTAGAACGGTGCATGCCTCTCCTCGAAGCCCTCCTCGAAGCCAAAGGTGAAATGAATGCCTCATGTGAAGAAGCAAATACCTCAAGTAATGCTCAGCAATCACCACACATTCGCCAGAACGTGCAAGTAGCACACATTGAAGATAAAATAAGAGAAGGTCACTAGAGATGGTTTGGTCATGTCCCGCGTCGATCTACAGATGCACCGGACTGTAGGTGTGAAACCATGGTGGGCGGAGGTGTGAAAAGGGGATGGGGAAGACCTAAAATCACATGGAAGGAAGTTGTCTCGAAAGACCGATAAATCCTTGGAATCAATGCACACTTAGCTAAAGATAGGGCTCAATGGGAGAAAAAAAAATCCATACCTACTAGTTGGAAGGTTTTTAGAATTGGTATTATTATTATTATTATTATTTAATATTACTATTATTATTATTGTTGTTGTTACTATTATTTATATATATCTTTATCTTTTTTAAGTGGTACTTTTATTTTGTTTTGGTAATGATGATGATGAGTTGAGCTAAATGAAACAAATGTGGATTCATATCGCCGAACCCAACTTGTTTGGGATTAAGGTGTAGTAATTGTTGTTGTAATGCTCAGCTGGCAGCCTTGATGCATTTTTGTAACATTTCGACACTAACTCTGAGGCATGTTTCAGCTTTCCTTTTCCAAGAGTTGGCTGGACGATAGTGTCCACATTTGAAACCAAGAAAGTGGAGAGGTGTGGCATTTCAAGGGCATGATTGGACCGGTGGGCAAGGGGTCTAAGGAAGGTTATTGGGAGGACATGTCTTCTTCTCTGATGGAGAGGTATATTCCTTGGGTGTTAGAGCATTCATGTGTGGAAGGAAGACAATCCTGGATGTGCCTTTGGTGGCTAATAAAGTGGTCAACTCAGAAGGAAGCTAGGAAAGCATAGAATTTTGCGCAAGCTGGATCTGGAAAAAGCTTATGATCACACCAATTTAGGATAGGTGAAGTGGATCAGATAGCGGGTTCATGGTTCGGTTTTCATCAAAACCCAGAAACCAAACCAACTATATGAGTTTGTTAAACATACAAACCAAACCAACTATATGAATTTGTTAAAAATACAAACCAAATAGAGTCGGTAAGACACAAGGGGCGTATATGCTGCCCATTAGCGCTAATGTCGGCTATAAGGAAAGAAATAAGAGAGCTTTTGATGGGATAGAGAATGACCGTGCATTTGAGGAATAGTCTCTTATTTCTAGTTTCCTTTTGTGTACCATGAGATTTCAATTTGAATAGAAGACATTTCTATGGAGAATCATACATTTTTGTAAGTTCTCTACTTTTGGCGTACTACTTGTATATGGGAGTTGTTTCCCAATATCAATAAATTTGTTTACCTATAAGAAATTGGTTGGAAAAAAACAAGAGCTTTTGCACAAAATTCTAGCACCAAAAGCAAACTGACCTGAGATTCCAGATTCTCAAATTCTGCTAAAACTTCATCTTCATCTTCTGCAGATAGCTTCTCTCCAAGAATTGCAGTGATTTCCTACAAAAAGGGAATAGCAGTCAAATAGCCAAAACCAAATGAAGTTAAAAAGGGAGAATTCTTTACAATAAGCTGATATCTTTCGAGATAGCACTCGTTATTTAATAGGAGAAAATAAGCAGCCGCAGGAACATATGAAATGGAACATTTCTGTCTATCAAACTGAGTATTGTAAAATCAGAAAAGAGAGGAAAAAGCGTGAAGATATAGGTGGAGAAAGAAACAAAAACTGAAGTGTAGGAGTGAAAAAGTCCACCAGCGTAAAATCAACCCCCTAATCCTCAGATGTTGCACCTAGTAAAATCACAAGCTAGAAGACCAAGGTGCATGAATGATGACCTTCCACCTATCAAAATACTAGTTTTGCTTGGAAACAGTTAATAATTAGTTAGCAAAAAGAAGTTATGAACATGGCTAGGTAGTAAGTGCAAGTGACTAATTGAGAACAACTCCCTGGGACCTCACCAAAAACAATGAGAACACACAATAAAATAAAAGAGTTTTCTTTTTGAAGCTCTAGAAAATCCCAAAATAAAAAGGTCTACTCCTTAATCAAGTCCACAATGAAGAAAACAAGACTGTTCTAATGCATTGTAGATTCTTATTTGAGACGTATTATTTGATGACCCCATGTGGATTGCCAAAAACATGAGAAATGTATGGCTAACCTAACAAAAGATCTCCTCCTTTTGTTTGATGACGGAGGTGTCGGGGCTAGCTTGGCGTACCTCGACTATTCCAACGGGTACCTGCTACCTCCCACCAGCACAAGTACCATGTAACTCTGCCTGCCAAGGCTTAGGCAACTGAAAGAAATCACCTAATGTTTTTCTTTTGGCCCTCCGCTGGGATTTGAACCTGAGACCTTATGGTTCTACTCCCATTCAATTGACCACTAGGCATACCCTTGGGTGTAAAGAGACAAAAAGATCCTTCTTTTGAAAGAGAGTCAAATCTGAATTCTTATATGTCCAAAGGTTCAAGACTGAAATAAATTCAGAGATTTTCCCGACTTTGTCCATGTCAACAAACAATTTGAAATACCTCTACTTTTTCTAGAACAGGTCCATAGGTATGAGCATTTGATGACAATAATACTGTTTGGAATAGGAAAGACGATGCAAATAGGGAGATAAGAGAGCGGATCAGGGTTTACATCAATTAAGGGAACGTATATTGCTCAGAAGGAGCAAATTATCTGATTCACATGCACAACCATCCTTCCCTTATTCAACATTGACAAAAAATACTCTGCTATGATCAATTAAAGTCTTCATGTTATATAGCCCAAACATATATCTAGACTGTTCCCTGTGATAAGAATTAAGAACCACTAAAGAAACCACAGAGCAGTAGTTGATTGGCTATTATCTATGACAAGTAACCTTTTTAAAAGGTTATATGCCAAGTAAGATTTTTTTCTTACACTACCACTATATCATTTCAATCAAAATGAACATGTCAAAAGTTTGAAAAGGAAAGGATGTGATGAAATGCAGATTTGACATCAGATGGACAATTATTTGACATTTGAACTTTCAGAATGAAGAGTATTGAACTTTTTGGAGTGTATAATAAACATTTGCCATTTCCCAAGAATAGACCCTGAATATTTCAAGCGGAAGTTTTCTGTTTCTTGCTTATCTTTACAATGAAATGGAGCAATAATTAAAACTAACAGGTATTAAAGACTTCCCAGATACCACAGGAGAAAAAAAGAACCATATTGTAAAAGAGCTTACATCTTGATAAGCTTTTGCCTCTGCTGTATCATCCATTAACTTTTGAACATCCTCTAGGTTGATCTCGCTTTGTATTGCTTTAATTGCATTATTTCCGGTTTTCAAACTCTCAAACACAGCCTTCTGCTTGCTTGCTAGTTCTATATCTGCCAACTAAATAAATTTGTTTGCTGAATCAGAAAGCAAATGAATATGCTTAAAAGAAAGAATACCAAAGTGAGGTGACAAGCATGGAACTATATTTAACAAATGCTTACTTGCTGCTCAACATTTATGAGCCAGACATCAACTTGCTTTAATAATTCTTCCTGCACTTTTTTCTTTTTTAATGCTAAAAGTGCTCTCTCTTTCTTCTTTTCACGCAGCAAGTCCTTTGCAGCTTGTTTCTCAGCTTCAATGACAGCATCCAACTGAAAGCAATAACAGAAAGTTGTAGCTGATCAGAGACCAACGTGTGAATTTGGTAAATTTTCTTTCATGTTATTTAAGATTCTAGAAAATGACACTTCTTCAGAAAGAAAAAATTCTAGAAAAATGCAGAAACCTATAAGATCTCATGGACGACCACCTTACCTCTCTTCTACGGAACTCCAAAAACTTCTCCTACCGCATACAAAAATAACATCCCCTATCGTTTCTCTATTTATTTTGTTTTTGTATTTTTATGCGGATACATACATCCTGACTTGCGGCATTACCACCAAGCTTTGCAAAGGAGAGAAATCAAAGTGTTGTTAGGCAAGAAGCAATAAACGTTTAAGAGTGTAAATATTCAAAACAGTGTTTTCTCCATTCTTCGGGGTAGCAACAGCGTTATTACGAAAGTTAAGGCCCCTTCAACATAAAAGCCTTTACATTGTGCCTAATTAATGGGGGAAAAACACTAGCTATTACAGATTTTGAGGAGCAAAACAATGAATAACTACAGCCTACAGGTGCAAATAGGGCCTAGTTCAGTTTGTTCTAGCATTATGTCTTCTCGAGGATCTATGGTGGAGGTTGTCTAGTACCTTGCGGAAACCAGGAGTCAAACACAGCAGGTTTAGCAACCCTTTTATATCACTGAACATAACATTTGTGAACTTGAATAAAAAGAGTAATGCATTTAAAGGAGAACAAAGAAAACTCAAACCAACTTCAAACGACCTCTCTGATCTCTGGAAAACAAAAAAAAAGGTGCAGGGATCACTGATATCCGAATTGCGCCGCACTTATATAACAACCAAAAAGATACTACTTGCAACTTCAGATCATCACTTCACAACACAAATACTGTATGTACATATGTCCCTCTTTGTGTGTAAAAAATTGTGAAAAAAAGTAAGAAGCTAACTCCCTTGATATCCTTGATCCCAACAACTACGCCTCAGTCTCAAACAAGTTGAGTCGGCTACATGAATATAACTGACCATGATTCTACCAGCAAATGAGTTGATGAAATTAGGCAGTCTAAATTAAATATAAAATACTAGCACAAGAAAACTAAAAGTGCATTTAAAACCAAAACAGAACAACAACAGAAAAGAGAAAAACAAGAAATACAAAACCTTTCTCGATGAATCCATAAACAATTGTAATATGCAATAAAAGGGTATATACCTGTTGCTGATATTGTGCAAGTTTACGCCTTTGGGTCTTCAAAGCCAGAATTGCTTTATCTACTTCTGTGATCTTGGGTTTCTTGACAAATAAATTCCCCATGTTTAAAAAGTACCACCCACAAAAAAGGAAAATCTCAAAGGGGCAGTAAAAAGAATGAATTTTTCTATTTTCAAACTGATGATTCTGCTATAATTATGAGGTTTTGCATCTCCAAAGCAAAACCCTTTGGTCAAAATGCAAAACCCCTCTTTTGAAAATCCGTATAATTGATCTCCTGCGGAGATGGGAGAGGCCTTGTTGGATGATGGAGCTGAGATTCAGGGGACCAATTTTGACAATATGAATAAATTACTAAATGGGGAATAGAAAAAAAATTTGGACTTTGGAATATAATTTTACAAAGATTCCTAGCGGAGGCAACAAGTAGGGTGTTCATGGTCGATCGGTTTTTCCTAAAAACAATCAAAAATTACCAGCTATGTCCATTTATAAGCAGTTCGTTATAAAAATTGGTCAATTAATAAAAAATACTAATATTAGTTAAATTAGCCAATTAACTATTTGTAGCAAAAAAATATCAAATTTTTCCTTTGTTTTGAGTGGGTGTTATTAGAATAGATTGGGCACAACTTAAGGAGCTTGAATCTCAGTTTTGGTATGATTTGGTCAAGTTTTGAGGTTGTTTGAATTGAAAATTCGAAGTAAAAGCCGAACATGAAAAAAAATGATATGTGTATCACACTGTGTATCACATATGTATCATATTTGTATCAATTGTGTATCACATGTATATCCATGTATACCTGTGTGTGAGATACATGCGTGATACATGTTTGATACATGTGTCGCAGAAGACTTTTTTGAACTCGAATTAATTATGAATTTTGATACAAAACCAGTCCAAATCACCTCCAATCTTCCTCAAATTTGGTATATTCACTTATCTACATATTTTCAATGAATTTCAATTATACCCATTGAAAAAGTTCCTTTTTTGTTTAGATTTTTGGAATATTGTATAGATTTTTGTATTTCATCACCTTATTTGCTACCCCGTCCATGAATCCTTTCCGTCTTGTATCTAATGTTGCTAATCACGCTTAAAAATATGGAAGGTGATTTTTGCATGTGATTTTTTGAGAAAAAGAACTCTATTATTTGATTTTTCAATTTTTATTGGCTAGTTTTGGTAAGTCTATGACTAATGGCTAGAGGTTGGTAAGTTGAGATTTATTTGGGACATTTGTGTAAGTTTCCCTAAAAAGAAACCAAACCAACTAAGTCGGTTTTTCAAATATTAGAACCAAACCAAACCAATTAAGTCGGTTTTTTCTCGATTCGGTTTATGTCGGATTTTGTCGGTTTTTCGGTTTTTTTGATTATTTGTCGATCTTTTCTCAAATATAAGACATACACTACCAAAAACATATTCTGGCGACCACATTTTCAACGTAACACTATCAAATCAATTGTCCTTTGAGAAATCTATTATTTACCAAGGTATATTGATGATGATTGAATCGAATAGTGATGAATAATTTAAGGACTCAATTAAAAATATATTATTTTTAACACGAAATTGATTATTACACTTAACAAAAGAACTACCCATCAAACTAGAATGTAAAGGGTTCTTTCTCTCAAAGAATCACATAAATCACCTTCCATATTTTTAAGCGTGATTAGCAACATTAGATACAAGACGGAAAGGATTCATGGACGGGGTAGCAAATAAGGTGATGAAATACAAAAATCTATACAATATTCCAAAAATCTAAACAAAAAAGGAACTTTTTCAATGGGTATAATTGAAATTCATTGAAAATATGTAGATAAGTGAATATACCAAATTTGAGGAAGATTGGAGGTGATTTGGACTGGTTTTGTATCAAAATTCATAATTAATTCGAGTTCAAAAAAGTCTTCTGCGACACATGTATCAAACATGTATCACGCATGTATCTCACACACAGGTATACATGGATATACATGTGATACACAATTGATACAAATATGATACATATGTGATACACAAATGATACAACAGTGTGATACACATATCATTTTTTTTTCATGTTCAGCTTTTATTTCGAATTTTCAATTCAAACCACCTCAAAACTTCACCAAATCATCCCAAAACTGAGATTCAAGCTCCTTAAATTGTTCCCAATCTATTCTAATAACACCCACTCAAAACAAAGCAAAAATTTGATATTTTTTTGCTTCAAATAGCTAATTGGCTAATATGGCTAATAATAGTAATATTTTATCAATTGGCCAATTTTTGTAATGAGCTACTTATAAATGGACATAGCTGGTAATTCCCCTTTATTTTCTTCCATTAATATAAGTACCGATAAATTTGGCCCTTTTAAAACATAGATAAATGATAATAAATCTTGATTTTCAAAATTTTCGACTATTTCTGTATAGAGCAAAATTGGTTTATATTAAACGGAAAAGGTTCAAATACCCCCCCCCTCCCCTACCCCCCCCCCCCCGAACTTTACGATAAGGTCTATAAATAACCCTCGTTAAAAATTTGGCCCATCACCCACCTTGTTGTTACACACTTACACTATTAGCCTGGATACCCCTTTGTTTTAAACGTCTGTCACAGTGGATAAGCTATCCATTCAAAATATGACATGTGGAATATAATATACACATAAATATTTTATTTTAATGCCCAACCCTACCCATTAGCTCTACTCGTTACCCGACCCGTAAACATAACCCTTCTCTTAATACCCTCCCGAATTTCACTACACTTATCAATTGCGAACCGTCTCCTCGTCGGAAAATTCTCCGGCTAAATTCAGTTTATGAGCAATTTTCTTCAANTGCGTCTTTCCATTTGCTTCGGCGAAGTGCAACATAGTCACTTTTAAGCTAGCTATTTAATTCAAGACTAAGTCCTGAATTTCTGACCTACTAATTTAAATTCAAAACATTTAAATTCAAAACATAAGATTCGAATTTCTGGACACAATTTTCGAACTTTAGGACACGTGTTTGAATTTTGAGGTTTAAACTAGGACGGCGTGTCCTAAATTTTGAGCGAAATTTGCTAATCTTTAAATATATTGTAAACTATGGATATATTTTAAAGGGAAACTTACACAAATGTCCCAAATAAATCTCAACTTACCAACCTCTAGCCATTAGTCGTATACTTACCAAAACTAGCCAACAAAAATTTAAAAACCAAATAATAGGGTTCTTTCTCTCAAAGAATCACATGCAAAAATTACCTTTTATATTTTTAAGTGTGATTAACAACATTAGATACAAGACGGAAAGAAAATTTCATGGACGGGGTAGCAAATAAGGTGATGAAATACAAAAATCTATACAATATTCCAAAAATCTAAACAAAAAAGGAACTTTTTCAATGGGTATAGTTAAAATTCATTGAAAATATGTAGATAAGTCAATATACAAAATTTGAGGAAGATTGGAGGTGATTTGGACTGGTTTTGTATCAAAATTTGTAATTAAATCGAGTTCAAAAAAGTCTTCTGCGACACATGTATCAAACATGTATCACGCATGTATGTATACATGGATATACATGTGATACACAATTGATACAAATATGATACAAACGTGATACACAAATGATACACAGTGTGATACACATCATTTTTTTTCATCTTCAGCTTTTACTTCGAATTTTCAATTCAAACAACCTCAAAACTTCACCAAATCATCCCAAAACTGAGATTCAAGCTCCTTAAGTTATGCCCAATCTATTCTGATAACACCCACTCAAAACAAAGCAAAATTTTGATATTTTTTTTGCTACAAATAGCTAATTGGCTAATTTGGCTAATATTAGTAATATTTTATCAATTGGCCAATTTTTGTAATGAGCTACTTATAAATGGACATAGCTGGTAATTTTTCTTAAAACTTTATTAAATTTAAATCAGTAAGAATTTTGGATTTTACTATAAATTAAATATATATTAGTCCAAATAAATATTATGGACTAGTATAATTGTATCCATTATTTAAATTCAATTAAATTAATTTAAGAAGGAATTACAAGAAAATACACATGACTTCACACCATAACAAAAAATGGCCCATGTTTTTAAGTTTTACCCGACTTACACAATATTGTACATATTTTGAAAACACTAGCTCTTGCAAATTCAAATATGTGTTCTTACAACCGTTGCTTCTAAAAGCTATGGAGTTAAATCTGTGTTCGCACAGCCATTGCTTTCACTCTCTCTTCTTCTCACATCTTTTACATATGCTTCAAGGGGTCGTCCGCCATTACTGCTTCTCCCCCTATGTCACCTGGTTGCAATGTAAAAAAATTGAAGAGTAAAAGTCCACCATTGAAGGCCATTCAAAGCTTTGCTTTCGAAAATAGAATTTTTTGAGTTTGTTAGTTATTTGGACTGGGTGTTGTTCCAATTGATTGAAAATATCAAAAGGAGTTCAAAATTTAAATTTGAAGTTATTTGGAGTAGATTTGAGCAAGATTTGAGTTAAATTTTAGAAAAGACGCAAGGAAGAAGACGAATTCAGTTTTTTGTATAATAGTGTATATGAGTGTATAAACACATCTTATACACTATTATTCACTTTTATACACCTTTATACAAGCGTTTGTAGACGAATTTCTTCCACGATTTTCAGTTGCAATTCTTGTTCAAAACCAGAAATCTCCATTAAATGACTTCAAATTTTATATACAACCTCCTTATACTATTTCTACCAATTCTAGTTTTGTTAAAAATCTAATTTTCACCACCCAAATGGATTTGGTTTTGGATATCTAAAAATCTATTGGAGTTGGATGTTAAATCTTAGCCTATTATTTTTGAGCTAGTTGGTTGTAAATTGAAATATAGGCTATAAAATTGAAAAGTAGGGAACCAAGTTGTTCTTATGTGAAATTTTTCCTTAATTTAAATAACAGTCCAATATACTATTGCGCTAGCCCATTAATTGGGTCGACCCATGGTTCCAAGCCCAATGTACCATAAGCTTCTTTTTTTTAGGCTATTCCACCCAACACCTATATAAAGGGGTCAAATGACAAGTCTAGAAGCACACCGATCAAGCAGAAGGAAGACTAGAAATGCTCTAAAGAACAACATCAAGGTATCCCTCTAAATCTGCAATCTTCGTATGTGGTCAAATCGCAAAGGCAAACTCAAATCATAAGCATCTTCCTTCCATAATAACTCAACATCAAATCCTGGTTAGTGACGATCTTCAAACTATTCGTGACACATCACAAACTTGAAATCCGTCAAGTTCAAGATCATGCTCTCGAGCGCTTGAACCATCATTCTTGAGGAGAAGAATCAGAGGACTACATCTCTTTATATTTGAGATATTCTAGAGATTGTAACCCCGTTGCTTGAAATTGAATATAA